AAGGCAAGGCTGGATGAGGCGTGGAGCAACCTGGGCTATGGAAGGTGTCCCTGCCCATGGCAGGGGGTGGGACTGGGGGGCTTTGATGTCCCTTCCCACCCAAACCATTTCATGATTCTGTGAATGAAGCTGTTCCACTGACCAGCAACTTCTGAAGATTTTTCACCCTGTTTTCATGTCATCATGTTGAAAACCCACTTGAGTTACCTCTGATCCCCCTCAGGTCTCCAAGCACGTTAAGTCTGTTTGTACGTGTAAACTTCGGTCACTTCCTGTGTTCAGTATGACCACAGGCCATTGTAGCCCTCTGGTTCAGAACATTTTTAACCCGTCCTCAGCTACGGTGGTGTGTCCTGGTCTTTGCACACACGCAGCCCCCACAGCAGATTCAGAAAACCCACCAGGAAGCCCGGCTCTCCCTGGTTCCCAGTCTCAGCAGATGTTTCCAGAGTTTCCAGGCACCTAGTTTACAGGGAAATAAACAGTGACCAGCTGAGGAAGCTGGAGGGTTGCTTTAGCACCAGGAAGGTGCACGTGCTCTTGCCTCTGTGGCAGGTTACGATCATCTTGATGCGCAGCACCCCCCTCCCTACCCTAACCAAATTCTGGCACCTGACAGCACCTCGCCCTTCTTCAGCACGGCCATTTCACACGAGAAGCAAGCTGCTCGGGTACCACTGAGTGTTTGCCTTACTGCGCAAGGAGTTACGAGACCGTAGCTGACCTCAGCCTCGCGGACTGTGCTTTTCTTGTGACGCTGCATCAGAATTCAGCGGTCAGTGCTACGGGAAAGCAAACGAGTGACAGTGCACATGCACATCCCCAGCTCCTTGAGAGCAGAGGACAGACTAAGGGTCTTTAATTAGTGAAATTCCTACAGTGTTTTAAAACCTGCCCTTCGCTGCTCACCCACTGACAGGAGTTGGAGGGGTCCTTGGCGCGTCTGCGAAGGGGCGGTGGTTACACATGGCTGCGCGATCCCCGATGCGGGCGTAGAAACGCAGAGCCCGCCGCCACACGCAGCATACGCCGGGTTTCACACGCCCCTGTTCCTCACTAAAGGGCCTCAGCGTTGCTCCCAGTGAACGTTTCGTTTGCCTTCCAGCTGGAAAGCCCACGCCAAACAGAAGGCCACAGGTCCAGGCTGCTGTCTACGTACAGCACAGAATCGCTGTACCAAGCGAAGCGCAAGTGCAACGCCACGCAGGAGTTGGATATCGATGTCCACGACGGAGAGCTGGTGGCTGTGCTGGAGCAGAGGGACCCCTTGGGAAGTACCAACAGATGGCTGGTTGACACAGGACGTAAGTTCTCTGCACAAAGACCCCAGCAGCAGCTTCCCTTCGGCATATGGGTTTCTGGCACTCTGCCTCACCGGTTTTTCTCTGCCACACTGCATCGAACGGTCGGTTCTGAAACGGGTTTAGCAGTGCTTTGCTGTATGTTTATTTTCTTTTTGTTCTGGTGTCCAGTCCTTAGGGGGTATGTGTATTCCTCCTTCCTGAGGCCTTACAATCCAGCCAAAGCGCAGAAGGATGTAGGGGAGAACAGCTTCGGTGATGACGACTTTGACAACATCAGCCTCTTTGTCTCCTCACGGCCCCCTGCTGCCAGCAGCACCAGAAGTGCAGGGCACAAGGGGAGTGACAGCAGCTCATCCCTTCACCTCCACCAAGATTCCACAGCTAATGGCACAGGGGCTGATGCTCTTCAGGACAGGGATGATCACGTAAGTACGACACACACTGCGCCTGTCGTCTTGTTGCTGTTTCGAATCTAGAATTATTCTATACGGAATTCTGCAGATCCTTCAGTTTTACCCATGATTTTGGCCCTGTTTGTCGTGGTCTGCCCGCAGTCACAAGCCGTGTAGCTGCACGCTAGTCCATACGCACTATTACACGTTTTCTGTACACAGAATCCAGGGTAAGACGTGGCTGCGTTTCTCAATTCAGATTTTGGGTTTGTGGTTTCCTCTTTCAGACCTTCTACGCTGTTTATGCATTTCAAGCAAGAAATGATCAGGAACTCAGCCTTCAGGAGTACCAAAAGGTTAGGATCCTGCGGTTTTCCGACCTGAGTGGCAACAAAGAATGGTGGTTAGCAGAAGCCAAAGGTCAGAAAGGATACGTTCCATCTAATTACCTCGGGAAGATGACTTATGCTTAGGAGCAGAAAGGCCCCCTGCGCCCGTTTCTCCGAGGCAGACAGGAGAATCCCCCGTTACAGCCTGCAGCAAGCTAGGCAAGCTCAGCACTGACTGACAGAAGCCGCTGTGTCCGGTACAGCACACATACGGAGAGCTGCCATCCTCCGAAAGCCATCACCTTGTCAAGACCTGAGGGATGAAACACTGAACAGGAAGCCTGACTGTGATTAACACCCCGCAGCTTGCTTTGCTATCACCCCGTAATCTCCTTCCGTCAAAGCGTCCCTTGTCACGTCACCCTATGAGCACAAATCACAGCTAAAATGATGATTTTCTTCCATGCTATTTAGCAAATAATATTCAAGATGAAGAGAATTAGCCTTGAGAAAGGACAAACTCAGTCTTCAGGGATGCTGTGCTTCAGGCTGAAACGTTCCTGAACTGCTATCCCGATGAACACAGACACGGCTTAAAACGTGAGCTTTTGGGCTGTCTGCATCCTCAGCCACGTTGGTAATGAACCTCCTCCTCAGCCGAGATTGCTGGGGTGGGAAAGGGAAAAGGGTTTTGTCTCTGTAGGAAACATTTCAACCTAAAACGTAGCAAACACGGTGGTACGGTGGCTGCTCCCGGGAAGAGGGTATGTGTAGTTCCATACGGAAATGGGGGGAGGGGAAGTGGGGCACAGGAACAGGTACTGTGAAAGGAAGAAGTTACCGGTTTCAGAAGAATTAACACAAGCACTTTGTATGGTGGGGAGCAGTTTGTAGCAACGTGAGAGTGCCCCAAGTTGGAAATTGCACATAGGAAACCCCACACCGAGTGCCTCAGCGTGCGGGATCTGTGCAGGGGAACAACCTGTGTCACCACACTTGGGAAAACGGTTAAGATGTAAAAAGAAAAGGTCAAGCAGCGCCTTTCCATGCCGATTTACTGCGTGCTGCCTGTCTGGGCAGGGCTTCGGGTACACCAAAACTTCTCTGCCCGAAGAAAAACCGGACCTCACCCTGGAGGAGTGTGAGGCTAGACTGCCCACGGAAGGGAGCGACGAGCGCATTCCCCGTTGGCAGGAGTCAGAGTCGGAAGCCCTGTACTGTGCTAACGGCCGAGGCCATGTGGACACAGCTCACACCGCACCCTCGACGAGCACAGGAAGCAGAGATCCCGAGGAAGGCTGGGAACGCTGAGCAGTCCTCCGTAGGTTCTCTGGGTACAGCGACCCACGGGTCAGGCCGGTGCCCCACGCGCGGGCTAGCGCGAAGTGACATGCCAAGACCCCGGTGCTGCCGCCGTCACTCCCCGCGCGCCCAGCGCAGCTCAGTCGGACGCAGCACGGCCCAGGGCCGCTCGCGGTAGGCGAGGAACGTCTGTGCCAGGCGAGGAACCTCTGTGCCAGGCGCTGCAACAGGGAACCGGGAGCTCCCAAGGACAGCTCCTGCCATGCGCTGCTGCGGAGCTGCTCCTGGCTGACCGGGCAGTACGGCGACAACGGGATGGTGACAGGAATTCGGGGCAAGGGCGGGAAAGGAGGATTTGTTCAGCCTGGGGAAAGGAAGGGTCCAGGGAGACCCTATAGCACCTTCCAGTGCCTGAAGGGGGCTACAGGGAAGCTGGGGGGGGCACAACTTTTTCCAAGGGCCTGTAGTGACAGGACAAGGGGTAACGGGTTTAAGTGAAAAGAGGGAGATGGAGATGGGACATCAGGAAGGAATTCTTCCCGCAGAGGGTGGGAGCACTGGGACAGGTTGCCCAGAGAAGCTGTGGATGCTCCATCCCTGGGAGTGTCCAAGGCCAGGCTGGATGAGGCTTGGAGCAACCTGGGCTATGGAAGGTGTCCCGGCCCATGGCAGGGGGTGGCACTGGGGGGGCTTCGAGATCTCTTCCCACCCAAACCCTTATATGACTCACTCTTCACCCATCTTGCATTTATCCCATCCATCGTGACAGCGAGCATGTACAAGTACTTCCAAGGCTGGGACCACCCAAGCTGGGGTGTTTCCCTTCAGGGAATATTTTTCAGCATTGCCACTGATCACCTGGAACACGGAAAGCGTCCAGGCCAAGGACCAGCGCTGGCTCCGACCTCTGCCCGCTGTGCGCCTCACCAGCGTCCCCTGCTTGGATACTGCGTCCTAAGCCAGGACTCTCCTTGCAGCGCCAGCACAGACTGCGGTTACTCCCGGCCTTCCACCTTCGGGAGCCTCATCCCCCTCCGGCACCGGGGCCCAAGGCCGCTCAGAAAAACGCCGACTCCTGAAGCGGACTGAACGCCTGCAATAGGGAACAGCCCCCTGCCTGTGCATCTGTTGGCAACCGTTCTTCTCGGAAACGGGAAAGAAGCTGCTGTCAAATTACTGTGACAATAAAAATCTATTTTTGTCTCAGTACATTTAATTCTTTTTAAACAAGGTCTTTCCCAGCAG